GTGTATTCAGCCCAGATTGCGAGATATCTGTAGGCTGCGATTGGATGATATTGTGTAAGATTTTTATGTCTTTTAAATGTACATCCATCCAGTAATTAAAACTGACCATCTCTTTCTATATTTAGTACTGTCTTTTTCAACATGATGACTTATGCAGAATGTGACCACAAATATTTTCAAGTAGGTGACATTTGGTGCGGAACTGGGGGTGGTGTGTTTAGCTTCCTGTACTCGGAAAAGTAGCTTGCTGAGCTAGTATTTTTTTTTTTTTTTATTGCTGCTTTAAGGCCAAACTCTGCACACATGTACAGGTAACAACTGTTGAAGGCTTAATTATTTTTGAAAAAAAGCATAACGTTACTATAGAAGTCTATGGGAAAACATTTGGTTGTGTGTAACCTGGAGGGGAAACTCCAGCAGCGCCTCATAGCGGCGGCACACCACGGGAAGCTGCCGTCTACCGGTGATAAGCCGAACTAGACTGGCGTAGTATATGGCGCTGGGGACAACTTTCGACGATTGAAGGAGTATTTTTTGCTATTCTGACAGACAGACAGACAGACAGACAGTGACTGAGTTTGATTTTACGCCGCTTTTAGCAATATTCCAGCAATATCACGGCGGGGGACACCAGAAATGGGCTTCACACATTGTACCCATGTCGGGAATCGAACCCGGGTCTTCGGCGTGACGAACGAACGCTTTAATCCCTAGGCTACCCGACCGCCCCTGACAGACAGACAGTATTTAGCATGTTTGTATGTTTGATTGTTGTTTAATGCCGCACTCAGCTCTATTCAAGCTTTATGTATGTAATAATCGATTCTGTACCAGACAATCCAGTGATTGACATCATGAGCATTGATCCACGTAACTGGGATACGATGACATGCATCAAACAAATCAGCAAGCCTGACCACCCGATCCCGTTAATCGCCTTTTACGCCAAGCAGGGATTGCTGAAAACCTATTCTACCCCGGATCTTCACGGGTCTGACTCGATGTACGCACTTGGTTATAATCTGCAATGTTTCATACAATCTTTGTAATCTTTGTCAATTATCTATGTTTCCACAGAACATTTTTACCGGAGAACTCGCGCAATTATACTGTTATCAGTACCTTTTTACCATTCCCTAGCTTCCCCATAAGTGTCATGTCAATCTACCACGTGTTCGAAAGGATAAGCTTGTTCTATTATATATTATTTCAAGAAAACCTCATAATACATTACTATTCTGATGACAAGTGTAGAGAAATTGTTTCCGGACGATTTACAGAAAAACGTTCGGGCTACGAGGAATTCGTTTGTCCCGAAGGAGTTAACCTTCATTATGTAAGACATTCAGCAACATTTCTCGAGTGATAAATAATCGGTTATTACGAGTTGCGAGTAGGTTTTTTTCTAAATAACCCATAGTCTATTTAATGAGAAAATGCAGAACAAACTGTATTTTCCCTTTCCAATTATTTACGACAATGCGTTGATATCACGTCACGTTGATGAGGAAATAGTGACAGCAATGCAACAACTGGCGTGAACAAACCAATCAGCGTGACACAATAGAGTGACGTTGCTGAAAAGAAGTTCACCATGACGGTGTTTGTAATAGCACCTTTTTACATGACCTACACGTCCCTGTTACAGCTGTAAATGTAGGGGTCACGTGTTTCAGCGCCATGGCGACAGCCGGACGAGGGACAAGTAGTTGTGATGGCATATAGTGCATGCTGAAACGCTTGAGTAGCCAATTTATATTGCATGATTATGTTGCGTGAGCCTGATTGGAACGGGGCAAGGTGCAAATGTTGCCCTTTTAAACAAAGCGTTAGGTTGTACATATTCAGAGGTCGAGAACCCATTGCTTGCTAATGTCATTCTACCCCATTGTTACTGTGGACAAGGCGCCGATACGAGTAATATCTTGTCGCACGGTCTTCAGACGCTTTTCGCTATGTGATTGTTGATCACAGAGTATTTCTTCAATTGTCACTATTATTCTATTAAAGTCTTAAGGAATATTCGATCCTGAATTCCCCATGTTAAGCTCTCGACGTGAAGCTGACAAAAAGACCCGCTTCTCAGATTAACGCGTGCCTTGCATACATCACCTGCTCTTTAACGACTGGCTTAGGTCTCTAATACACGTTCTGCAGATATAGCCTCCGTAGCGTAGTGGATAGAGCGTCTGCATGTAGATAGGGAGGTCGGTCGGTTCGTTCCCCTGGCGAAGTCATACCAAAAGACGTTGAATATGGTAACCTGATGTTACCCTGAGTATTGGACAGTTGAGGTCACACAGAAATCTGTACGTAAAAGAATTAAGTGTGAAACAAACAAACAGCCAGCAAATAGTATATAATCAGTTGTATAACAATATTAACTAGGTTTCAAATCAATACAAATAACTGCACAGCATTTACAATGGCAGTACACAAAAGAGTGGTATTACAATAGATAGTACAGTAGTAGTACCGTATATAATGAGAGAGTAATGGCAATGACAGTGTCAAACAGTCGTCAAGCTTCCGAGATAAGCCCAGGCTGTGAAAAGAGTGAAAAGAGATCTTCACCCGAAAGCTGGTCTTGATTGAATGTCAGATGAAGTGTGAGATTAAATGTGAGATGAGACATGGACGCGCCCGCTCCACTCCGCTTACATAGTCTAACCAGCTTCCAGCACTTTCCACACAGTGCTTGACCAGCCCAGTGTCAATAGAACAGCACAGAATATTCCACATGTTTCAAAAGCGCTTGATATCCACCCATGCTATTCCGGAAGGTTATAGATCATTTGAGCATCTAACTATAATAACTTCCTCACAACTGCTTGCATTAAGTAGTACTACATTCCTGACAACTAATCATTGTCCACGTACAATGCAGTGATCTTCTCCTGAATCTCAACAGAAACAATGTAATACAGTTACAACCATTGTTTAACAACACATTACACTGCAATATAACACCATGGATAAAGGAATGAAGTGTTCTCTCGAGTTTGTCCTGAGGAATGGTGGTGTACATTGTTGAATCATCTATAAAAATCAAGAAAATCCTTAGAGGTTTTGATAATCCACATGGTAATGATTGTACTTGTCTCAAAAACTTTCTGTGAATATAAAGAAAATTCTTCCTTGATTGTGGTGATGATCATGGTTAATCTTTGAGACAGGGATTCAGTGGTACATTTAAATGGCTCAGCGATATATCTCTTTGAGTGGATTTTTCAGGAGGTTTGGAATCCATTATAAACACGCACTGAGGTAGGTTCAACACCCCTTTAAACATTATTCTTATTTTAAAGAGTTCGTTATTTTGAAAGGTTAGATCTACAGATGTACTCAAGCTTGGAATGTGACACTATGTGTCAATATGTGTTTTTACTTAATAAACTGAAAAGCAATTACGTCCTTTCACCTGATCCCCACCCACCAAGTGCTGGGTACACAGTGCGACCTTCCTAGCCATCACCAGCATCCTAGTGACATTATCTGTATCATGTCCAAATGTCCCGACTCTAATGTTGGTGCAAGTGATGGGGTCGTATGTATATAAACCAACTTCGTCTGACTCACGCAGAGCAGTCTTCCCGTTTGTTACACACTTGACATCGAGCATAGATGAATACACCTGTACTAGTCTGCCTCTTACCTGGAGGTTGTAATGGATGAAGCCTTTGTACTTGCTGGGGACCTAATTACACATATTGATTAAAATATGCACATACACAAATGTGTGTACTCTAAAGTTGAAAGCGCTTGCCAATTAAAACTGTGTTCAATCTTACTCCACTTATTTAACTATACATATTAGTTAAATTACATGTACTCAATGATTTAAAAGTGGATATAATTGAGACAGTTTAATGCACAAATACGTATTTTAAAACTAACAACAGATAATTAACTCATTTACTTTAATATTATTACTAAACCTTTATGTTTATTGAAGTGGCCTCTCAAACAAGCAATCGGGGTTTTACCCTTTTGGTAAATAAAGACTTGGAGTGTTGTTGCTATACCGCTGCATCCTGTCGATGATCGAGTCTGGACCAAACAAACCAATGATTGATATGAATGAGCAAGTCCTATGTCGTCGGAATATGATGACTTGCAATCAACCAAGTCATCCATTAGTGATGACACTGCCCATGGCGTCTGACGCCAGGAACGTCTGCAATGAGCCCTGCATTGTCAGCATTACTGCATTTCTACTGACACTACTGCATTTCTACTGTAGATGGCGGAGCCAGGGTGTTGCGTGGAGAACTGTTTGCAGGTGTATGCATCATGAAAGAGAACCGTAGGGAGGACGGTTATGGGTCCAGATCCAAACTGCGGTTATCAATCGCTTGGTACTATCAGTGTACAGTAAATGTGTGTCCGTGATCAACGCAAATATGTAATGACTTGCCCGCCCCAACTCTGGCACAACATTCTACAGCATTTGGCGAATTATGCCTGCAAAGAATTGGTTTTCTCAGATGACCCTAGTCACGCTCGTGCCTATTTCAAAATATCGTTTTTGATACCTCTCATGATGCGACGTTTCTTATGCGATTAAGTGTTACTGAGATGCTATTCAGGAAGGAAACCTTTGACGTAACTAATACTGTGTACGTTCTCTGCATGTACAGTCAGCGACTTGATGATTTAGCGAACCATCTTAGGCCTAACGACACATTAGTTAATGAAGGTTACTGTCACTTTAATACACTTAGTCTGTTAAAAATTGACAAAGCCGGGTCCCGTGACGTACAAATAGGTTTTAACTTTAACAGATGTCGAAACTTAATAGTTTGTGTGCACAAAGTGATCCCACTGAATAATACAAGCTCACACCTGCTACAAAACAGAATGCTTCGATTTCTGGCTACAACTACACTGACGCGTGGGACACACTGACTACACATGATCAGTAGATGTGATCCACTAATCAATAGAGGACATAGTGGCTACGTCAATACAAGGCATCACTCACTCCGCTGCAGCGCGGTTAAGGGAGAACACACACATCCGTTCACAATGGCAAGAAAGTTTCAGAACATTCTTCTTCTTGTTTTACACATAGCATTTTGTCAAATCTCCTCGGGAAGTGGTGGATTACTTGCGGTCAGTGGAACAACGGACGCGATATTCTTTACTTCTGATGTGAACACCTATCAACAGTGTTATAACCTATGTGCGGCAGTGACGGTGTGCACTGCGTTCAACTTCCATCCTAACTCCGGCAGATGTGAGCTCAGCATGTTTTCCAACACCCCAGCGGCGAGCGGGGTGTCCCTGTACACCGAATTTCACAAACTGTCGGATCAGGTGGGTTCCTCACATGTAAACATACCATTCTAAACGTACATCAGATGGACTGCTGACATGAGATTCTAAACGTACATTAGATGTACTGCTGACATGCCATTCTAAACGTACATTAGATGTACTGCTTACATACTGTTCTAAACGTATATCAGATGTACTGCTGACATACCGTTCTAAACGTACATTAGATGTACTGCTGACATACCGTTCTATACGTACATCAGATGTACTGCATACATACTGCTCCATACGTCACCAGATATACGTACACCAGTTGCACTCCTGACATACCATTCTATATGTACATTAGCTGCACTGCTGACATACCATTCAATATGTACATCAGATGTTCTGCCGACATACCGTTCTATAGGTCACCAGATGTACATACACCAGTTGCACTCCTGACATACCATTCTCTACGTACACCAGATGAACTGCTGACATACCATTCTATACGGACATCAGATGGACTGCTCACATACCGTTCTACACGTACATTAGATGTCCTATTGACATACCGTTCTATCCGTGCATTAGATCTCCTATTGACATACCGTTCTATACGTACATTAGATGGAGTATTGACAGACCGTTCTATTCGTACATTATATGTACTGCTGACATACCTTTCTATACGTACATCAGATATACTGCTGACATACCTTTCTATACTAACATTAGATGTACTGCTGGCATACCGTTCTAAACGTACATTAGATGTACTGCTGACATACCGTTCTATACGTACATCAGATATACTGCTGACATACCTTTCTATACTAACATTAGATGTACTGCTGACATACCGTTCTATACGTACATTAGATGTACTGCTGACATACCGTTCTATACGTACATTAGATGTAGTATTGACAGACCGTTCTATTCGTACATTAGATGTCCTATTGACATACCGTTCTATACTAACATTAGATGTCCTATTGACATACCTTTCTATACGTACATTAGATGTCCTATTGATATACCTTTCTATACGTACATAAGATGTCCTATTGGCATACCTTTCTATACGTACATTAGATGTCCTATTGACATACCGTTCTATAGATACATAAGATGTCCTATTGACATACCTTTCTATACGTACATTAGATGTCCTATTGACATTCCGTTCTATAGATACATTAGATGTCCTATTGACATACCATTCTATACGTACATTAGATGTCCTATTGACATACCGTTCTATACGTACATTAGATGTCCTATTGACATACCGTTCTATACGTACATTAGATGTCCTATTGACATACCGTTCTATACGTACATCAGATGTACTGCTGACATACCATTCTATACGTACACCAGATATACGAACATAAGTTTGACTGCTGACATACAATTCCATACGAACAACAGATGTCCTATTGTCATACCGTTCTATACGTACATTAGATGTCATATTGACATACCGTTCTATACGTACATTAGATGTCCTATTGACATACCGTTCTATAGATACATTAGATGTCCTATTGACATACCGTTCTATACGTACATAAGATGTCCTATTGACATACCGTTCTATAGATACATTAGATGTCCTATTGACATACCGTTCTACACGTACATTAGATGTCCTATTGACATACCGTTCTATACGTACATAAGATGTCCTATTGGCATACCGTTCTATAAGTACATCAGATGTACTGCTGACATACCATTCTTTACGTACATCAGATATACGAACATAAGTTGGACTGCTGACATACAATTCTATACGAACAACAGATGAACTGCTGACATATCGTTCTATACGTAAATTAGATCTACTGTTGACATACCGTTGTATACGTACATTAGATGTACTGCCGACATACCCTTTTATACCTACACAAGATGTACTGCTGACATACCGTTCTATCCGTACATCAGATGTACTACTGACATACCATACGTACACCAGATATACTTTCATCAGATGTGCTACTCACATACCGTTCTATACGTATATCAGATGTACTGCTGAAATGCCGTTCTTACGAACATCAGATTTACGGCTGACATACTATACTCTATATCATCTGTAAATAAAGCATACTATTGATAATTACGCTGAAGCTCAGTGTTCAGCTCATCTTCATTAGTATAGGGAGTTATATCCCTCTGTTGTCTCACTACCGTCCGTCACAGTGCGTGGCACTTCAGCTCCTATCTCTCTTTTGTCTCACTACCGTCCGTCACAGTGCGTGGCACTACAGCTCCTATCCCTCTATTGTGTCACTACCGTCCGTCACTGTGCGTGGTACTACAGCTCCTATCTCTCATTTGTCTCACTACCGTCCGTCACAGTGCGTGGCACTACAGCTCCTATCCCTCTATTGTGTCACTACCGTCCGTCACTGTGCGTGGTACTACAGCTCCTATCTCTCATTTGTCTCACTACCGTCCGTCACAGTGCGTGGCACTACAGCTCCTATCCCTCTATTGTGTCACTACCGTCCGTCACTGTGCGTGGTACTACAGCTCCTATCCCTCTATTGTGTCACTACCGTCCGTCACTGTGCGTGGTACTACAGCTCCTATCTCTCATTTGTCTCACTACCGTCCGTCACAGTGCGTGGCACTACAGCTCCTATCCCTCTATTGTGTCACTACCGTCCGTCACTGTGCGTGGTACTACAGCTCCTATCTCTCATTTGTCTCACTACCGTCCGTCACAGTGCGTGGCACTACAGCTCCTATCCCTCTATTGTGTCACTACCGTCCGTCACTGTGCGTGGTACTACAGCTCCTATCTCTCATTTGTCTCACTACCGTCCGTCACAGTGCGTGGCACTACAGCTCCTATCCCTCTATTGTGTCACTACCGTCCGTCACTGTGCGTGGTACTACAGCTCCTATCTCTCATTTGTCTCACTACCGTCCGTCACAGTGCGTGGCACTACAGCTCCTATCCCTCTATTGTGTCACTACCGTCCGTCACTGTGCGTGGTACTACAGCTCCTATCTCTCATTTGTCTCACTACCGTCCGTCACAGTGCGTGGCACTACAGCTCCTATCCCTCTATTGTGTCACTACCGTCCGTCACTGTGCGTGGTACTACAGCTCCTATCTCTCATTTGTCTCACTACCGTCCGTCACAGTGCGTGGCACTACAGCTCCTATCCCTCTATTGTGTCACTACCGTCCGTCACTGTGCGTGGTACTACAGCTCCTATCTCTCATTTGTCTCACTACCGTCCGTCACAGTGCGTGGCACTACAGCTCCTATCCCTCTATTGTGTCACTACAATCCGTCACTTTCGTTGCTGTACGATCTCTTCATGTTCCGTCCCAGGTTCCAAAGGAGCTGTGTCGATCACGGCCCTGCATGGAGGAGCAGTATTGTGTAACGACCCAGTCTGGAGATTCCTTCATTTGCCTCAACTATAAACACGGTGAGCATTTGTAATGTGGATTTCTCAAACAATGTTAATGGCTTTAAATATTTGTTCTGTAAATAGCCCTAATTCAAAATGCCATAATGCTATATCAATCCATTTCCATATTTCCATCTGTGCACATTGAACACGTCCTAGGACAATGTTTGCTTGTTTTTCTCCACTCTTGGGGGGGGGGGGGGGGGGGGGGGGGGACCACTGGTTGTGACACAGGCGAAATACACAAACAAGTATATGGAACGACGGTACACATATCAACTAACATGTGCAAATTAAAAAAAGGGAAACGTACGAATATGCCCTACGTTCTGATTGTCCTTCACTGTTAAGATAAACACTAGACAATAAACTTGCAACCTTAAAGTCAGTTACAAATAATTTTTTCCCAAGTAAAGAGAGTATTTTTGCACTTTTACCCGAACTTAATTAATGCAATACCTTTGGTTATATATGCTGGTGTGTCATAGCACGCATTGTAATCGTCGTGAATGGCTGCAAAATTGCTGGTGCGGCGTAAAACAACAATCACTCACTCACTCACTCATTGCAAGGGGGCAGTTCATGACACATTCATTTGCTAGGAAGCAGTTCAAATCTTATGCTGGTTTAAGGAAAGACAACCTGACCCGTGTATTCTCTCCACAGCAATCAAGTGCAATGATCCCCCGACATATGCCGGCATGACTGTGGAGTCGGTGATGTACCACACATCTGGTGTGACAGCAGTATACGGGTGTGGGGTCGGGTATGAGGCTGCAGGAGGCCATGAAGTCAGCTCCTGCACAAACACAATGTGGATCAAACCCACCCTGATCTGTCGGGGTAAGATTTTTGTTTTTTGTTTGTTGTTTAACGTCGCACTCAGCAATATTCAAGCTGTATTACGGCGATCTGTAAATAATTGGGTCTGGACCAGCCAATCCAGTGATTGGCATCATGAGCATCGATCCACGAAACTGGAAAACAATGACATGCTTCAATCAAGTCCGCGAGCCTGACCACCCGATCCCGTTAGTCGCCTTCTACGACAAGCATAGTCGTCTTTTACTGCAAGCGTGGGTTGCTGAAGACCTATTCTACCCCGGACCTTCACGGGTCTGTCGGGGTAAGAAGTAGAAGTCACCGCACGAGTGTGTTTTGGATGGTAAATATCTTAGGAATAAACATTACATAATGTTTATGCAAGGCTGTTTATTCCCAATACAGAATTTTTACCATCACGAAACACAATCGTGATAACGTTGTTTTTATGTAATGTCATTCTTAAATTCTGTCATCGAAAATGAATCTCTTACAAACGATACCTAAAAAATGAAAGATTTCCTGGAGAGTGCGCATTAAAATACATACGCCCGAAAGTTATTCTGCTTCTTTCAACGCGTTTCTCGTGACAAAAACGAGCGCGCAGCCCTTTCTTTGAAAAAATATGAAAGGCAAATAGTATGTTTACGAAATCATACGATTGCAGATTTCAGATAATGTTAAATAGTGAAAATATATCCAATATCGATCAAAAATAATTGGGTGCAGAAGCAAAATCTGCGAGTTCTTATTCAGCTTCTTTCAACGCGTTTCTCGTGACAAAAAGAGCCCCGACGGCATAGTTTCTTATGTCAATCACGATTTCTTCACCATACGATCATCGCAAAATGATAACACATGTAACTTCACTCGTAAACTCCCCGACCCGTGAAGATCCGGGTTAGAATAGGTCTTCAGCAACCCATGCTTGCCGTAAGAGGTGACTATGCTTGTCGTAAGAGGAGACTAACCACCCACCTGAATACCATTAACTGAAAAAACTTATGTAGCAGCTAATGTAGCAGGGCAACCCTACCATGAGACTGAGACTAAGTGGACAGGAGTATAGCGTAGTACAAAACATCCTGCTATTGAGTATTTGGAGTAGGTCACTAATGTTCACACCGTCTTTCCTTCTCAGAATAAACTTCTATGTCCCTTGTATTTTGTGTGTGTAGCTACAGACTGTGGATCCCCTCCTGTACTCCCTAACATGACCGGGACAGCGTCTACGTCGTTGTATGGAGCCATGGCCACATACACCTGCTTGATTGGCTTCACAGAGAGCGGGGCGGGGACGAGCACCTGTCAGGCAAATGGCGCCTGGTCCATACCAAGTTTATCATGCACAGGTGTTAACTTTTGAAATCTCAAATGAACTTTGGTGACTTGTAAAACCTTACCTAAATCTATGTTGTGTAAATGTGTTTGTGACAATTAAATAACTCAACGAGTAACAGTAAACTGATGTAAATTGTATTCTCCTAGTTGTAGACTGTGGGGCTCCATCTTCTCAAACCAACATGGATGTGTCTGCTCCTTCCACGGAATACGGAGCCACGGCCACATACATCTGCGTGACTGGCTACACAGGGAGCGGGACAAGCACCTGTCAGGCCGATGGCTCCTGGTCCACATCAAGTGTAGCATGCACAGGTATGTCGTCACCTGCGACCATATACAAGTTATTAGTTCCAAGCAGAAAGATAATGCTAAAAATATTTACAAATGTGACATTTATTTGTTTTTGAGGATATGCTGAGATGGCAGAATACCTTCCAATCTATACTGATCAGAAGGGAGCATACATCGACTTTGACTGATTATAAGACGAAAACGAAAAAATGTATTGTTTGATAGGCATTTCTCTGAAGTTGAGGGATGACACAATAGCCCCAATTCATGGAGGTAGTAGTCCCAGAATCTGCGGGTACTTATTCAGCTTCTTTCAACGCGTATCTCGTGACAAAAACGAGCGCGCAGCCCTTTCTTTCAAAAATATGAAAGACAAATAGTATGTTTACGAAATCATACGATTGCAGATTTCAGAAAATTTTAAATAGTGAAAATTTGTCCAATATCCATAAAAAATTATTGGGTGCAGAAGCAGTATCTGCGGGTTCTTTTTCAGCTTCTTTCAACGCGTTTCTCGTGACAAAAATGAGCGCGCAGCCCTTTCTTTCAAAAATATGAAAGACAAATAGTATGTTTACGAAATCGTACGATTGCAGATTTCAGATAATTTTCAACAACAAGAAACAGCATATTTTATTGCATATTCCAAACAAAGCTTTTAATATATCAAAGTCAAGGCTTCAAAATCCTGTCGTTCTATACTCAGTGGCAGCAAGCTCGACATCAACGAGGACATCCCAGGATGGGGAACTATATATTTCAAGAAACGTTAATCAGTGTATGACATGTTATCACAGTGAAGGTAAACGTTTACTACCAGACCCGGAACAAGGTATTACAATCTTTGTGAAGACTATTTCAGCAGAGATACGGGTAAATGATATAGAGTTGAACAAGCCTGTTAAAGATGGACGTGATCATTAATCGTAGTTATGTTACTCCCACAAACAACGCTTAAAGATAATCTAAGGTCATCATACGAATACCAGAAACAACCGAAAACAACAGATGACGTCACATGAGGTTTCCTATGCGTGTAAAAGTGCCTCGACGGCATAGTTTCTTATGTCAATCACGATTTCTTCACAATACGATCATCGCAAAATGATAACACATGTAACATCACTCGTAAACTCCCCGACCCGTGAAGATCCGGGTTAGAATAGGTCTTCAGCAACCCATGCTTGCCGTAAGAGGTGACTATGCTTGTCGTAAGAGGAGACTAGCGGGATCGGGTGGTCAGGCTCGCCGTCTTGGGTGATGCATGTTATCGTATCCCAATTGCGTTGATCATTGGTCATGATGGCAATCACTGGATTGTCTGGTGCAGACTCGATTATTTACAGACCGTCGTCATATAGCTGGAATATTGCTGAGTGCGGCGTTAAACAACAAGCAAACAAAGCACTCGTAAACTCCCCCGTACATTCGTGGCCGACCTACTCCACCCACCTGAATACCATTAACTGAAACAACTTATGTAGCAGCTAATGTAGCTGGGCAACCCTACCATGAGACTGAGACTAAGTGGACAGGAGTATAGCGTAGTACAAAACATCCTTCTATTGAGTATTTGGAGTAGGTCACCAATGTTCACACCGTCTTTCCTTCTCAGAATAAACTTCTATGTCCCTTGTATTTTGTGTGTGTAGCTACAGACTGTGGATCCCCTCCTGTACTCCCTAACATGACCGGGACAGCGTCTACGTCGTTGTATGGAGCCATGGCCACATACACCTGCTTGATTGGCTTCACAGAGAGCGGGGCGGGGACGAGCACCTGTCAGGCAAATGGCGCCTGGTCCATACCAAGTTTATCATGCACAGGTGTTTACTTTTGAAATCTCAAATAAACTTTTGTGACTTGTAAAACCTTACCTAAATCTATGTTGTGTAAATGTGTTTGTGACAATTAAATAACTCAACGAGTAACAGTAAACTGATGTAAATTGTATTCTCCTAGTTGTAGACTGTGGGGCTCCATCTTCTCAAACCAACATGGATGTGTCTGCTCCTTCCACGGAATACGGAGCCACGGCCACATACATCTGCGTGACTGGCTACACAGGGAGCGGGACAAGCACCTGTCAGGCCGATGGCTCCTGGTCCACATCAAGTGTAGCATGCACAGGTATGTCGTCACCTGCGACCATATACAAGTTACTAGTTCCAAGCAGAAAGATAATGCTAAAAATATTTACAAATGTGACATTTATTTGTGTTTGAGGATATGCTGAGATGGCAGAATACCTTCCAAACTATACTGATCAGAAGAGAGCATACATCGACTTTGACTGATTACAAGACGAAAACGAGAAAATGTATTGTTTGATAGGCATTTCTCTGAAGTTGAGGGATGACACTATAGCCCCAATTCATGGAGGTAGTAGTCCCACGTGGCAGCTACTGTACGTTCGGCAGGTGTGAACGTTGCCATCGTTTAAGTTTATCCCTGAGATGATTTTTTTCAGTCGGCTGCAGCTGGTCGTGCTTGCAATATAAACCTTCGTAGCCCCCATCAGCCCCAATTCCAAGACCCCTCTCTCTGATACCATTTGATCTGTTTGGCAAATCGTTTGAAAACCCTGAATTAAGTTTCCTTTAGCTAAGGTATCAAAAGTTTTCCCAGTCTACCAGTGTATACTTTCTCTGGATTGGTATTTTAATTTTAACATACAACTATTATACAACAATTATCATAATCATCGGAATGTTCATGTTATTGTGTTGCTATTTAGAGGCTGTATGATCCATAAAGATGTCTGACATCAACTTCTATATTACTTCAAAGAATCGTTTCAGTACTTGCTCGATAAAAGTGCCTGTACTGAAACATTGCGTTGACATAAAGACGTCAATAAGTCGGCTCTGCCATCGAGACATTTCCAATAAGTACCCAACTTGTCACTGCTAGTGGTGGATTGCCAGACGCCCGTGTCGACTTCTGTGGCTGATCCCGTCAACTACAACTACAGCACATACGGCAGCTCTGCTATCTTTGCCTGTCAGTTGGGGAAGACGACGTCCTCGGGAACAGCAACATCTACGTGCCAAGACAACGGCGCCTGGAGCGAGCCCACGTTACAGTGTACCGGTACGTCCAGTTTGTAGGAGGCACGAGGGCCTCGCAATGTTTGGGTTGTCGTAAAGATGGCTACACTAAGAATGGGCCAGGTGTGTTAGATGAGAACCATGTAGTCACCAGCGACAGTTTGCGCAAACTGACATCAGCATCTTGACTATGGCATCAACTGTGCCGGACGACTTTCCTAGTATTTTACAAGATGACTGTACCAATGATGATGTCACTAAAAATATTACAGATAATTTTCTCAAAAATGCCTACAACAAAAGTCGAAATGTTAAACAACATCCATCATTTAAAATGTAACAACTCTCCAGGAATAGATGACACCATTTCGGCTGATCTTCTTGTCCCATACCTAGAATTGTTATTTAATGTGATGTTTGAAGAGGGATACTTCTCAGAAACATGGTCTAATGGTATTTGTATTCTGCTTCATAAAGCAGGTGATTCTAATGATGTAAACAACTACAGAGAGATAACTGTCTTGTGTATCTTCAGTAAAATATTTTCTTTTAACAAGAGACTTGTGTCTTGGGCTAACACCATGGATACAATTTCTGAATCACAGGCTGGATTTAGGTAAGGTTACTCAACAGTTGGTAATGTCTTTATGTTGCAATCTCTGATACAGCGCTATATCACCAAAAAAGGGGGGAGTTTTATGGATTATTTGTTGACTTTTCCAAAGCATTTGGTTCTATACACAGGTGTAAACTATGGAGATTATTTACTGCACGTGGACTTAGTTCCAAAATGTCGAAGTTATTATGTAGTATATATATGAAAAAGTTGAAACGTGTTTAAGGGTTTAATGTCTGATGTGTTTAAATGCAAATTTGGCGTCCGCCAAGTATGTATTTTGAGTCATAAATGAAATCGGAAATCCATAACAATAGTACAAACGGCATTCAATTACATCCAGATGTCGTTCAACTCTTTTTATTATTATTTGATTTTATCATGTTCTCAAGCACAGCAGGTAATTTAAGTAAACTGATGTCTTAGAAAATTACTGTGATAAATGGAAACTGAAGTCAAAACTAAAATTATTGTATTAAAAAATGTTGCAAACTTGCCAAAAATGAAAAATTGTCCCTTAAAGGTGAACGTTTGAATGTGACTACCCACTGTAAATATCTCACTTGGTCTATTCATGTAAGAGAAGCATCAGTTCAGGCCATAACGGTTTTATTTGGTATATTAACATATCCTTGGTGATAAAAGTTACAAGTCATTCTTTAAGATTGTTTATGTTACAATTAACCCAATTTTACTTTACGCTGCTGAAATATGGAGATTAAAACAATTTAATGATATCGAAAAGGTCCACCTATTTGCATGTAAAAAAATTCTAACTTGCCACTACGGGTTTTCGCCGCGATTCGCTGTGCAAAGCTGCGTCCCTTGGACACGCCAGAAACCTATGATTGTGGATTCGAATCCCGGTTATGTTTCTAAGCTTGTCAGCACAAAACCCGTGCTCGTGGGTTTCATCAAAGTGGTAAACGTCTGAGACCTGCATCACATCAGGCTACCCTCCCACATTAAGCCGACACGACGTGATATAATTGGAATACTGTTAAAAGCGGCGTTAAACCCAACTCACTCAGTCATCCCCGATTTTGCTCTGTGAATATATGTCTGTGTGTTCCAACAGATCTGCAGGATTTGGAAACAGATTCATCAGCAGGAACGTCGACGTCGTTGGTGTGTGAGGATCGGGTGTCTGGGCCGTCACTTGTTGCCGATGATGCTTTGGCGCCGGCTCCGTGCCAGAATACTGAGATTGTAACTGGGTGTTCAAGTTTGCTGGACGTGCGTAAATGACACATTGACTTTTTCGTGACGATATTGATAACTCGTTTTTCAGAGGACCTCCTTCAGTGGAGGTGCCCTGTTAAAGGCGGAGAAGGCTTCACGTTGTCATCAAGTCTATTTCATGGTGTTTGTGAACCTTTCAAGTAATCCGACTGATGCAACTGAATACTCCCTTCTCAGAAAACGGTTGAATATCAGTTGATTGAGTGGATTGTTTGTTTTTTGTTTTATTAGTATTGATTTCTTGTAGAATAACGAGCCTTACTCCGACGGTCAGGCGATTGTGGTGGTGGACGGGAAGGTAGTGTGCAATGCCGTAAACAGCTGGCAGGCCACGGGGCGTGAGTACATTGTCTTTTACTGAACGAACATTTGTGAACAGTCAGACATCGATATGCTCCAAGTGATGCCCAAATGACACATGTACATTAGTTAGGATGTATGCATGTTGACCCACATGAGTCGTACATGGCTGAAGCTGACTAGTTACATATGAGGAAAACGCCGAAACCCCTTCCCACTAAGCATGTATGGGACCTCATGATATCCTTCTTCTGCCGTAGCTGTGCGAGGTCACGCCCGATGCTGCTCCATGGCTGGTCTCAAGTGCGAGTACCTCCAGATGCCATACACAGACAAGGCCGACAATGCCCAGACAAGCAGGACCTGCAAGGACGGCTACTGGCCCACAGGCAAGCAGTTTGCAATGCTAATTTTCCATATTGGTATGAGTGAATGAGTAAATCGCTTCTTTGAACAATTTTTCAGAAACACCATGCCAATTCAGATGGCGCGGGACGAAAGTGTGCAGGTCTTAGACGTTTATCGAAAGTGCATCTGCCGCAACATGGTACAGTTGTGGAGAAACGTAAAAGAAAATGGGATTCGAACCCTTTTCTGGCACGCCTATGGGACGCAACCCTGCACAACGAATTGCGGTGCCATATACGGGCCCCATAAACGACTGGGCCATCCGTGTTCCTTATACGTGTCTGAACCAGCGGGGTCAATGACCGCGGTACACAGAGACATAAGGTCCGACAAGAACGGTTCAGTCACGTCAGACTGCTGACAACTCGCTGCCATATTCCCCACAGATCACCCACACCCTGAGCCCATTTTTGCCGTCTCCACTTGACCATCTTGTCTTGAGACATCTATGGACTAATAGGATCGATTCGTTAAATCCGGGACAAATCGGAAATCTATATAATTATTCATTCATTGGGTATACAGGAAGCAACCAATTCTTTGACATATATGCTTATATGACTTTTTATGTTGTATATTCTGTGGATGTGAATGAGATGTCCAGTCATTTGTAAGACAAACTACCGACAGTGTTTTCATTCTCCTTATTAAGGCTGCATTGTGAGCCACTGGCATGGACAGTTCGATGGCGTGTTCCTGACGGCTGGCGGCTGCACTGCACAAAACAATGGACCCGATGACGGTATATTTTCTTTGTTTGTTTGTTCTTGTTTAACGCCGCACTCAGCAATATTCCAGCTATATGTCGGCGGTCTGTAAATAATCGAGTCTGTACCAGACAAACCAGTGATTAACATCATGAGCATCGATCCACGAAATTGGGATACCATGACATGCATCAACCAAGTCAACGAGCCTGACCTCCCGATCCTCTTAGTCGTCTCTTACAACAAGCATAGTCACCTTTTACAGCAAGCAGACGCTGAAGACCTATTGTACCCCTGATCTGCAGGGGTCTGATAGCGGTATAGCCTCCCCTTCATTGAACATCATTATCAGCAGAAGTCAGTGTCAATATCTGACAGTTAATTACACAACTTCCTCCTGTGTTATCACCCGTGCATATTGACGCTTCAGCCAGTGAGCGCTCAGAAGCTCAGGGTTGCGGCCATCTACTCATCGCTACAATGTATAGCAGCCGTAGGGTTCAAAGCACAGAGTAGAGCTCCTTTAACTTCCAGGCGTATTTCTCCACCTCCTGCCCGCCGTGCCCATGGGTGATTGGGGAACGTAGTACACTGACGATGCAAGAAATGGGATTCAAATCTCACTTCAGTACCTCGGTCAGTTCCACCTTCCTCTCCCTGGAGTCATGAAATAAAACATTTTAAACTTTGTCCTATGAAGCTGTCCTTAAAGACAAATATTGGGACTTACCTCATTACAAACGTACAAACGTGGTGTTAAAGTTCTACAGTCGTCGATACTCTGTTACCGCTGTATTATCACAGATTGTGTACAATTCATTGAAGGCGTTTTTGGAACCACAATATGTTGCTCGGCCCCCAACCTCAACTGTATCTGGGTGGAGTCGGAGGTGACTGGGAGTGGTCTTGGGGATACAGCCTCGGTTTCATGTCTGAGTGGCTACACTATGACTGGTTGCATGAGCTTCTCGCCAAACGCAGGGAATAGAGGCGCCTACATCGAGAGTGAGTACAGACGGTTAGAGCGAGGGAGTGTTGCTTTTAGCCGCTTTTAGAACTATTTCCGCCATTAAAATCAGGTCTTAGTTTTCGCTTCCGCTAACGTCCGGGAACCAGATACTGTCGCGCCAACCATGAGTAGTCTATAAGGCGACCATGTAGGAATGCCTGACATCCTGCAATGACGACCTCAGGCCATCTGAAACGCAAGTTCAACTCAAGGACAAATTTAACCTGAAAATGAAAACAATAAGGTACAAAACAAATTTCTGGCAGCACAACCCGGTCAAGTTGTCTTAACTACGCCAGTCAGACATTGTGAGCTCAACACTCTTGAGTCTATCTTGGATAACTGTAAAGGGTTCGTGGCAAGACAACACAAATTGCAAACTCACACATGTCAAAGGGTTGTAACCACACCAGAGGAAGGGCAAACGGCTGAAGGTCACGTTCTTGAAAGAGAACGTCAGTGCCGCCAGCGTGACGCCGTGCATGTCAGCATTGCTGCACCACTTATTGTACTGCGGGTGATACTACAGATTCAGAAACGTCATCAGCTAAGTCAAATGCTGGCCACAGAAATAGTATGCAGGAAACCAAATACTTTTTGATTAAAAAAACCTTAACCTTCTAATATTCTCCAGTTTTATAGCTTTTAACAATTTCATCATCTTTCCAAGCAATTATTATGCAATACATGTCTTAATTGCTACCCCCGTCAACGCATATCTCAAGAAAGTACAATAACAGCAATATTTTGAGGCCACCCCGAACGCAGGTGACATTTGCACCTGTGAGAATGCATGGGCCAGTGTGAGGTCATCACCTCCGGACAGGTGTTAGATCATTACCTCAGGCAAAAGGCCAGTTTCATACATGAATGACAACACGCAGATAATAAGTTTATCATCAGGTTATTTGTAAAAGTATTATTTAAGGCTTATCACAGTATAGGTTAGGAAAGACTAGATTAGGTAGATTGGCGTTATTTGGATATATGCTATTTCATACCCCTGTGATTCGTATGTATTACCTATATAGTCAGAAAAGCATTTTTTCCTCATTTCCGAGAGTACTTTAAGACCTGATTTTCATGAGATTGTATTTCCGAGATTTCATAGTCTGAAACATTCGTCACCACTCGCCCCTTTCCGTAACCTGCAAGAAAACTTCTCTCATCTATCAATGTTATGTTCCGAAAACACGACAGACCATTCAATGTGTTTCACGGAGCGAAGCTATGGTAAGAATAAACTAATAATAGGAAACGTAGTAAAAGTTCACATTTTATCAGCTAAATGTAACTAAAGAGGACAATCTAAAGTATCAAAAACTCACTTGACACCGACAATGATCACTAAGCTTCTGTATACTTGCTATTACCATGGCTATTAAACGGGTCGCGCGGACGTCGGTGAAAAACAACCTCTCGTGGATGACTAGTCCGTGAGAATAGTAAAGTGCAGAGAGCTAAGATAAGGAAACCACAAGTACCAGACTAGCTACTGAACCAATGCAGAGGATGTAAGTACCAAAATACAAGCCTGAACATAGAGTATCCAAAGGTGAGTGAGTGAGTGAGTGAGTTGGGTTTAACAGTATACCAGTTACGTCACGACATGTCAGCTTCATGTGGGAGGAAAGCCCGAAGTGATGCAAGTCTCAGACGAATACCGCTTCGGTGAAACCCACGAGCACGGGTATGGTGCTGACACACCTAGAAACATAATCGGGGTGAACCGGGATTCGAACCCACAATCACAGGTTTATTGCGTGCCCAAGGGACCCAACTCTACACAGCGAATCGCGGCGCCTTAGACGACTGGGCCACCCGCTATATAGCCCCCCCCCCCCCCCCCCAAAGGTACCAAAAACATTTACAACCAGTAAGTACAATTAATGAGATGGCAAAAATGACCATGAATGTATGAGAAATTTCAACATAATACTAAAACTAAACTAAGACATCAAAGTACAAAAACACTTTCAAAACATGAATAAGCTTGCATAGATATATGAGATGTGTCAGAGAACCCCGGATATTGTGTGAAGTACACATCCTACACTGGGCATTGGGGCGATATTGGGCTAGGTCATCATAATATTAAGACTAATACGCAATGTTTGTGGGATGAGAAGCTTGTTAATATTTATACTTACTCATATTCGTACGAGCTCCTGTTTGCCTGTTAACCCTACGGAGAAGTGGAAGTTGATCTATGTTTTGTTACATTCCAGACGTGAGCGGTGTCGACAGCTGCGTTGCTGTGAACGGACTGGCAAGGTCGGGCTCAGATACACCCCCTAAAGCTGTCGCCGCTTGTTGCAATGTCGGCTGGACTAATGTCTAGACAGGACAACATGGACGGCGTCTTGTCACGTGCTGGCAACCCACCAAAAAGGACCTACATGCTTGAAAAACAACTCTGTAATATATACATGATCCAAACACGTGACATCTACGTCATCACTCAGCAAGGCCCGTAGGTGCAACAGTCTCTTTACCCCCTCAACACACCCGTGACATCTACATCATCAGTCTCTCTAGCCTCTCGACACACCCGTGACGTCAACATCATCAGTCTCCCTAACACCAGAACACACCCGTGACGTCTAATTCATCAGTCTCTCTAGCCCCTCAACACACCCGTGACGTCTACATCATCAGTCTCCCTAGCCTCTCAACACACCCGTGACGTCTACATCATCAGTCTCTCTAGCCCCTCAACACACCCGTGACGTCAACATCATCAGTCTCCCTAGCCTCTCAACACACCCGGGACGTCAACATCATCAGTCTCTCTAGCCCCTCAACACACCCGTGACGTCTACATCATCAGTCTCTCTAGACCCTGTACACACCCGTGACATCTACATCATCAGTCTCTCTAGCCTCTCAACACATCCGTGACATCTACATCATCAGTCTCTCAAGCCTCTAACCACACCCGTGACGTCAACATCATCAGTCTCCCTAGCCTCTCAACACATCCGTGACGTCTACATCATCAGTCTCTCAAGCCTCTCAACACACCCGTGACGTCTACTTCATCAGTCTCCCTAGCCCCTCAACACACCCGTGACGTCAACATCATCAGTCTCCCTAGCCCATCAACAGACCCGTGACATCTACATGATCAGTCTCTCTAGCCCCTCAACACACCCGTGACGTCAACATCATCAGTCTCCATAGCCCCTCAACACACCCGTGACATCTACATGATCAGTCTCTCTAGCCCCTCAACACACCCGTGAGGTCAACATCATCAGTCTCCCTAGCCCCTTAACACACCCGTGACATCTACATCATCAATCTCTCTTGCCCCTCAACACACCCGTGACGTCTACATGATCAGTCTCTCTAGCCCCTCAACACACCCGTGACGTCAACATCATCAGTCTCCCTAGCCCCGGATCACACCCGTGACGTCTACTTCATCAGTCTCTCAAGCCTCTAGCCACACCCGTGACGTCAACATCATCAGTCTCCCTAGCCCATCAACACACCCGTGACATCTACATCATCAGTCTCCCTAGCCCCTCAACACATCCGTGACGTCAACATCATCAGTCTCTCTAGCCCCTGTACAAACCCGTGACGTCTACATCATCAGTCTCTCTAGCCCCTCAACACACCTATGACATCTACATCATCAGTCTCTCTAGCCTCTCGACAAACCCGTGACGTCTACATCATCAGTCTCCCTAACACCAGAACACACCCGTGACATCTACATCATCAATCTCTCTAGCCCCTCAACACACCTATGACATCTACATCATCAGTCTCTCTAGCCTCTCAACACACCCGTGACGTCTACATCATCAGTCTCTCTAGACCCTCAACACACCCGTGACGTCAACATCATCAGTCTCCCTAGCCCATCAACACACCCGTGACATCTACATCATCAGTCTAACTAGCCCCTCAACACACCGGTGACATCTACATCATCAGTCTCTCTAGCCTCTCAACACACCCGTGACGTCTACATCATCAGTCTCCCTAGCCCCTCAACACACCCGTGACGTCTACATGATCAGTCTATCTAGCCCCTCAACACACCCGTGACGTCTACTTCATCAGTCTCTCTAGCCTCTCAACACACCCGTGACGTCTACATCATCAGTCTCCCTAGCCCCTCAACACACCCGTGACGTCTACATGATCAGTCTATCTAGCCCCTCAACACACCCGTGACATCTACATGATCAGTTGATCTGGTGCCTCAACACACCCGTGACAACTACATCATCAGTTGATAGGGTGCCCTCACCACACCCGTGACATCTACATGATCAGTTGATCTGGTGCCTCAACACACCCGTGACAACTACATCATCAGTTGATAGGGTGCCCTCAACACACCCGTGACATCTACATGATCAGTTGATCTGGTGCCTCAACACACCAGTGACATCTACATCATCAGTTGATAGGGTGCCCTTAATCACACCCGTGACGTCAACATCATTAGTCTCTCTAGCCTCTCAACACACCCGTGACATCTACATCATCAGTTGATATGGTGCCTCAACACACCCGTGACATCTACATCATCAGTTGATCTGGTGCCTCAACACACCCGTGACATCTACATGATCAGTTAATCTGGTGCCTCAACACACCCGTGACAACTACATCATCAGTTGATAGGGTGCCCTCAACACACCCGTGACATCTACATCATCAGTTGATCTGGTGCCTCAACACACCCGTGACAGCTACATCATCAGTTGTTATGGTGCCCTTAATCACACCCGTGACATCTACATTATCAGTCTCTCTTGCCCCTCAACACACCCGTGACATCTACATCATCAGTTGATCTGGTGTCTCAACACACCCGTGACATCTACATCATCAGTTGATCTGGTGCCCATGTACATGAACATTTAACAGAGAACCCAATTGCACGAGCTGTTCTTTACAGGAATTGTGTGAGGTGTTGTGATCTACCTTCACTCATTGTGGTATTGTTGAGATGAGATCAAGGAAGCCGCTCAAGTCACACACAACGCCAGCTATAGAACTGGAATTCGTTTTTTGCGAACTTTACATGGAAAATCAGTCCATGTAAATCAGGCCTACTTAACAGTGAATTCATATAACAGTGAGTTGAAATTCATTCCGTCACGGTAGAGTAATGTATACAACTATGTCATCATAAATGTCGATTTGACTTTTCGGTTGCTGTAGTTCCCAGTGGAATACGACGTCAGTCGATGACAATCTGGCGTAAATTAGGGTATTGTATGACAGACACACGTTTCAACCAGAAGCACTGGTGATATGGCAAAATTGATATGAGAAATTCAGGTAGTTGTTTGACATTATCATTGTTAGAGTAATGTATTTATGCAGATTAAAAGAACCTTATCTATTTTTCATTGTGCTTTCATTCTCCCTTTCAACGAGATGTTTTCGAGTATCGTGTCATTTGTTCATGCTTGTTGTAGTACTCTGCAAGTCTCTGCGTCCTTGTTTGTGTCCAGGCATCCACCAACTTCAAATACAACAATCACCCTGGGGAACTATATACTTACTGGCTCAATGTCCTAGGGGGAGGTTGGTTTGGGGTGGTTGTGTAGTTTATGCCACAATATTCCAGCTATGACGGCGGACCGTAAATAATCTGGATCAGACAATCCAGTGATCAATATTGTGAGAGGCAATCCACTAAGTCTGACCAGGCCAGGTTGCTGGAGGCCTGTTCTCCTCCAGTCCCCACGGGTTACGATCACTTTCATATTCGCAATCTTAATGAAGACCCATGTACGTGTAGTCATGGATTACAAAGACCAAGACAAACGAAATCATATGTATTTCTCTTTTAAAAGGAAGTTTATTGTTCACGGGTTCAGCTTGATAAGAAATATCGTTTGCCATGGTCATTCATTCCTGACATCTCAGTGGAAGGTAACTGAACGTTTTGACTTCCACTTAGTCAGGGGGCGGACAGGTAGCCTAGTGGTTAAAGCGCTCGCTCGTCACGCCGAAGACCCGGGTTCGAATCCCGACATGGGTACAATGTGTGAAGCCCATTTCTGGTGTCCCCCGCCGTGATATTGCTGGAATATTGCTAAAAGCGGCGTAAAACCATACTCACTCACTCACTCCACTAAGTAAGATTCACTGTAGTCAAGGACTCAGTATTTGGACGTTTGTATCGTCACGCTGTTGGAATATGTCCAAGCTGGCTAAAATAGAATTTCTTGGCTTAGATGTTAACATGTATACGCCATGCCAAAGCTGTAGTCGCTGTCTGCTTATTGGACATATATAAATATGTTAACAGTAGCAAATCAGACAATTCATCATGTTTTGATATTATAGGAAAAAGTTGTCTGACAACAAATTGAATGTAACTATGTGCAATTGCGTCTTCCAAATGTTTAAATGTCTGTTGTTTTAGCCACACGTCTTTTATCTTTTCAATATTCGTGTTTGTAGGGGCCGCAGAGTAGCGCTGTGTCCACTATAGGATGTACTCCGCTCGTTAATTATTCACCGTTTGAGACCAGCACTATATCTGTATTGCTGTGTGCTCACAGCTCTGTAAATACTTCTTATCGGAAAAAGAACTGACGACAAACATGTGAAATGTTGAATGCAAACATTGACAGCGGTCTGTAACTTGAGAAATACTATGTCGTTTCTACTTTTATTTGAAGAATTTTCAATTAGACTTTCATTTCATTTCTGGATCTTCAGACTCGATATCTCAATATTGTTGATACTACAAGATAATTTGTGATATTAAAATATGTACATAAGCAAATAAGAAAATTACAAATATAACCACGAGTAACAACATGGAGAAAATTGTTCACTATCACATTGACGACAAGGAATGGTTTTTGAAGTGTATTTGCTCATATCTCAGCAGTGATTTCCGGGTCCTGTTTTTTAGCATCGGCATGCACAGTCGGCGGCCAGAAGGTAGAAACTGATATTCGGAATGAAGTATATGACTGCTGACATTAAGTATCTTACGCATGAGGTCAACAGCCATTAGTACCCTTCCCATGATGCATGTCGCGGGTCGATGGTTAGATGCGAGTGCACGTGTGTCCTCTTGAACCAAAACATGTCAGAACAAAACATTTTTATTTTAATTCTGAAATCAACCTCTAGTTTGCACAGAAAACAATCATGTTTATTATCATACTGTTTATTGACACGGGTTCTTACAGCTGGACGCAGTTGAATCAAACTGTAACATTTGCTATATGTTCCCAGTAACGTGTTATTAACTGTGGTTGTATCGGCGTTTAAATGACACTGTCTCAAGATACCGTCCCAGCTAACGACGTTGTGATAACGTTGTGGTAACGTTGTGGTAACGTTGTGGATATAACGTTATTCTGTGGACTCCCATTTATGTTGTCACAACGTCATGGCCTAACGTTGTGTTACGTCATATTCACGTCGTCACAACGTTGTGATGACGTTGTATTTTACGTTGTGGGAACGTTGTATTTTTACGTTGAGGGAACGTTGTATTTGACGTTGTGGTAATGTTGTATTTTACGTTGTGACAACGTCGTGTGTTAGCTGGGGTGAACCAAGTTATACATATGTCGGCCGAACGTGAAGGCGTGTACGATGACGTAATCCTAACCCTCTGACGTTGCCTGGCAACTAAAGTTGAAAGATATCCCCAGACAGAGCAGGCGGACTCTTGTTGATTCCTTGGGGGGGTGGAGTCAGAATGTCACTGATTCCAGTGGTGAGGTGAGGTGGGTGAGGTGAAATGTGGTTTGACGTCGCGTCACAGATTGTTGCACTTTAATATAGCGCCTGGCATGCACGTGTGTGTGTGGCTGCTTGTACTGGTCCGGATGGATGCCGATTTATAGCCTAGTGCTAGCCCACTGAGATACCATGCCGCAGTTTAACATGAATACCCCACTCAGACACAGTTTACTGACTCCGAGCCGACCAGCCCTTGTTTTAGCCCCTTAATGCTGAGTGCGACACAGGGTAACAACAAGTACCATCTTTTGGTATGACGCCTAGTAAACAGAATATGGCTGATCTCGAAAATTTCATTTGAGAAGATTTGATTCTTTAACTGAATGCGTAATCATAATAGTTAGACAAGAAAGATTGATTAGACACAACCATGTGCTAAAGAAATACACACGTCCGATATTAACAAATAAACATACTTTTCGAAATATTATATTAAGCATTTGATTTATTCCAATTGATGCCTAGAACGTTGCAGGTGTGTGCAATGAAAATTAAAACATACACAGACATTGAAAGATAGAAACTATTCAATTTCAGTAATTATTTACATGGTTATTTTATAATACACGAACTTATGTTTTACAAATAAAGTGCGTGCGTGCAGCGTGCTTTGCAGAAGTTGTGAAAATGTAAGTCATGAAAAATGGATAACCTCCAGGGCACCCAACCAAGCTAATCTCTATTCATACTCTAAGCATAAAAAATAATAAGGTACTAAATAGAACCTAAATGTTTTGTAATAGAAACAGAATTCGTTCAAGACATTGGCTCAACATTTTCAGAATATGTATGAGAAGAGAATCGTAAGAAGAATTAGGGAATTAAAAATAGATACATTGCATTGCCGAGCGCCAGACAGGGTAACAACAATTACCATCTTTACGTCTTTTGCTATGACGCGGCCGGGCATCGAACCCTGGACCTTCCGCTCTCCGGGCGGACGCTCTACCATTATAACACGGAGGCGTCACCAGTGGTGAAGCAGTCCTGTGTACCTTTGTAACCCAGTGACATTCCTCATTTTGTAATGTCAAATGAAACGTTCAAACACTGACCAATGACATATATTTCAGGAATATTAACTCGACCTATTAATCCTGCAATAGTCTAGGGTTGTGGGATAGCACAGTGGTTGAAGCGTATACTCGCCAAGATGAAGTCCCGGGTTCGATTCCCCCATGGGTACAATGCATGAAGACACTTTCTGGAGTCTGTTGACATGAGGTTACGGGTCTAGTGCTAAAAGCGGCGTAAAACCATACTCATTCAGTCGCTCGCTCGTCCATTGTAACTGTAGCGTACGTCAAAGTAGACAAAACATTCATGGATAACAACTTCTTTATTATACTATATAAGACAGCTTCACGATAAATCGAAAAGAACAAAGAAAAACGAACCGTTTTAAGACATTGTTCTATCAAGACGTCATTTCTGGATATTCGAACATGCGCTGGCAACTTGATGACGTCGTATATTGGACAATGGGTTTTCTTTAGAGGGAAGTGTCTTGAGAGTTGTGCCCCATACATTTAGCTGGGCAACGCAGATAAACACAGTGGCCGAACGGTCCCGAGAGAGATATGACAATCGGTACAGGGAGAAAAAAGGAACAGATTATCGATGTGAGGATTGTGAGAGTATGTGGGAAATACCAATACCAAATCCACCAGACATTGCCGAGGTCGGAGACTCTCTTCAGGGTGTCATCATTATTTAAATACGGGTAAATATTTTATCATCATCCTTAAAGAGGCTGTACATAATGTTCATATAAGAAATTAACGACTCGTGATCTTTGTTTACAGCTGGGAGAATAAACCATTTGGGGCTAGGCACCTTATAGTTTATTCTCCCTAAATTGTTTCATTGTACGATAAACAACTCCCACTCGTATTTTATTTCTTATGTTACAGCGGCGTTTCGGTGAACAGCCTTATACCGTTGTTAAGACTGTTAACTAATGTCATCCGTCAACTTCCCAGAAATTGGGGGCACGGGTGGGCCAGTCGTCTAAGGCGCCGCGATTCGCTGTGCAGAGTTGCGTCCCTTGGGCACGCCAGAAACCTATGATTGTGGGTTCGAATCCTGGTTCGCCCCGATTATGTTTCTAGGTTTGTCAGCACCATACCAGTGCTGGTGGGTTTCACCGAAGTGGTAAACGTCTGAGACCTGCATCACTTCGGGTTTTCCTCCCACATTAAGCTGACACGCCGTGATATAACTGGAATACTGTTAAAAGCGGCGTTAAATCTAACTCACTCACTAATCTCTCTGACAGTAAGCCCTCCAGAAATTGTCCAATGATATACATGTATTAGCCACTGACATCTTATCTAAAATTTAAAATAACTTCACTTTGCATCACTTATAGAGTGACGTGCATGCACATGTGTGTGTGTGTGCATCTGTGTTTGCGTGTGTGTGGTTGCTTGTACTAGTCCGGACTGATGCCGATTTATAGTGCTAGCACTGAGATTCCATGCCGCAGTTTAACATGCCCCACTCAGACACAGTATACCGACTCCGAGCCGATCAGTCCTTGTTTTAGCCCCTTAGTGCACCAGGCAGGGTAACAACAAGTACCATCTTTTAACGTCTTTTGGTTTGACGCGGCCAGGGATTGAACCCCGGACCTACCGTTCTCCGGGCGGTCGCTCTACCACTAGACCACGGAGGCGGTCTACAATGTACGAACTTCTATTAATATATACACTGAAGGTCTACTTGTAACCTCTTACCTCAAGTCGACCTCAATACAGATGTAGTGATGACAGTATATGGTATCTCTAGTAGAATCTACTCGAATCTAGAATCTACCACTCAGACACAGTATACCGACTCCGAGCCGATCAGTCCTTGTTTTAGCCCCTTAGTGCACCAGGCAGGGTAACAACAAGTACCATCTTTTAACGTCTTTTGGTATGACGCGGCCAGGAATTGAACCCCGGACCTACCGTTCTCCGGGCGGACGCTCTACCACTAGACCACGGAGGCGGTCTACAATGTACGAACTTCTATTAATATATACACTGAAGGTCTACTTGTAACCTCTTACCTCAAGTCGACCTCAATACAGATGTAGTGATGACAGTATATGGTATCTCTAGTAGAATCTACTCGAACCCCTGGCGCCCACCACAGTTGTCAATGCCAGAGACAGTTCGTCTCCATATGTACTTGTTTCAAATCCATCATAATAGAGAGCCAGTATGCATTTGTGTACATAAACTGCAACGCACACAAGTGGGTTAATCGAGATATTGGATGACTTTCATTGTGACGTTTAGTCTCATTATTTATTAACTCCATGAACGGTAGCTGTGGTATTATATATACCAGACGTGCAAGTGGGGATTCCATGAATATCAGTTTTCAATGACAGAGAAATTACAACAATGGCTTCGTCCATCTCACAATGTGGATGTTTATTCACTTTAACACAACATTCAATTACACCAAAACGTCCACCACCAGATACCCAGATACCGATCATCACATGACGGCGAGACCCGTGACGATCCGGGGAAGAGTGGGTCTTCAGCAACCCATGCTTTCCGCAAAAGGCGACTATGATTGTCAGAAGGAGCGACTAACGCGATCGGTTAGTCAGCTCGCTAACTTGGTTGATGCATGTCATCGTATCCCAATTGCGCAGATCGATGCTCATGGTGTCAATCACTGGATTGCGTGGTCCAGACTCGATTATTTACACACCCCCGTTATATAGCTGGAATATTGCTTAGTGCGGCGTTAAACAACACGCAGATGAAGAAAACATGACGGCGACTGTTGTGTGTACCCCCGGTGGCGCCCCCTTGTGGCTGCCAGCTCAAGCACACACGTCCTTGAGCCAAAACTAACTTCGATGTCAACTCATTCCACGGTTGCCTCACACAAACAGTGTCCCTTGGTACATACAACCTCCGTGCCACGTGCTTCTCATGACTAGCGTCACATTCTCATACATGTCCTTGATAAACATCACCTCGGTGCCACGTGCTTCTGACGGCATCAGAATTCATAAACACACATGTCCTTGATAAACATCACCTCGGTGCCACGTGCTTCTGACGACATCAGAATTCATAAACACACATGTCCTTGATAAACATCGGCTCGGTGTCACGTGCTTCTGACGGCATCAGAATTCATAAACACACATGTCCTTGATAAACATCACCTCGGTGCCACGTGCTTCTGACGACTAGTCTTACATTAACACACATGTTCTTGATCCTGGTCCTATTGATTCTGTAGGGTGGACAGGTTGTCGCCTTGTATCCGTTAAAACCATGCAGGACAAGGCCATAGATCAGATCATCTTTACTTGTCTAAGACTATATGCGAATTGAGACGAATGCATTATGACTGAAAAGGTAACCACACACATCCGCGTGACATCTGGTTCTACAAACGACAAATGTGTAATTGTCAAACGGTAACGTCGGGCCTGTGGGAACGTCTCCTGCGATGTGTCATCTATATGCTGCAAGGACTATCTACTGCTCAAACTCTCATTAATGTAGAGAACCACTCATTACTTTCCGCGCTATACTAAACATGATTCTATATATAATGGCAAGTAGCTCTGCAGGCCAATCTGGGCAAGGCCATGCCATTAACACTTTACTCGAGCGTCAGTTCCGGTTTGATGATTCCGTTCTAGGTGGCAATAACTGTTCACTCTCGGCCTATAAAACATGTGATATCGCACTTTCACACACAAGTACAATGTCCCTTGGTTGGGAACGGGCAAGACCTTCATCTTGTTCTGACCTTGGGTAAGATATCAAGTTCTACGATGCCTACCACAGTATCTCAGCTTCTTCGGTATGATCTCACATTAACGGAAACTCCAAATATCATCCAAGGTAGGTAGGTTGGCCGGTTTTACATCATCCCCTGCTCGTTCTGCTCTACTGACTACAAGTTACCGTCGGCTCGGAGTTAGTTGCGGTGTATGAGTACGGCTCGGTGACACGCCTACAGCATAAACATTGAATCTTTTGCATCAAAGTCCTCCGAAACTGAGCACTGATCGTGGAGTAGAAAACAAAGTTGGCCCCACTGTTCACTAACTTCAGAATGTTCCACGTGTCAAACAAATAGGAACTTGACCTTGAAACACGGCCTTGAACAAAGAGAGGCAACATGAGCCCCACGAAGCCGACTGGATGGCTGATGAGTGACAGGGCGCACACCGCCATCACGGACAGAACCAGACGTTTCTCCAGTTGTCGCCGTGCAGCAGACCGGAAGTTGGAGCCAAAATCGGACGTAGACATTTCTTTGAGTAGCAGAATGTTGAGGAAGAGGATGGTTACCCACGGTACAATGTAAACCAACAGTGCCTGGCCAACAATCAGCGTGATGTCGTATTCATACTTGATGATCCAGCTGACGTAGTTGTCCGGCGTGCACGTCGTCACGCTGATATTCCCTTCGGAATTGACACAGCGGCTGAGATTGGAGCCAGCGACTCTTTGCAGGACAGGGATGACAATCATGAAGACGTACATGGCGTACAGGACGGCGTACAGGATGCAGACTCCCCCGACTGCAGACACAACCATCTTGGCCCTCTTCCTCGAGCACACTACAATCACCTTCAGGGGTTTGCAGACCGCGATGTACCGCTCCGCGGTGATAGCCACTGTAGATAAACTCGAGCCACAGAGAGCGGCGTTGTAGATGATGGAGAGGATGTTGTTGGCGATCTTCACGTTGAGGATAGGAATGTTGAGGTCTGTGAACCTTTCGAAGTACAACACTAGAGAGATGACGACTCCGCCGAGATACACAAGGTCGTACAGAGACAGACAAAGCAGAAACAGGGAGGACGAGGACCTCCGTCTGTCGTCGGCCCATACAATGGCGGCGAGCGTGTTCCCTAGCACGCCCATGATAGCTAGGATGAACTTGATGACCTCCATGTCGTTCACATGTTTGATGGAGCTCAACTCCATGGTCTGGTTCGAATCCAGGGATGTGTTATACATGGTTTGTCTGGGCAGGAGGGAGATTCTGAAAGTAAAGAAGAGTATACACTATACAACGGTCGACTTAGTGGCAGTCTTTTTATGATGAAGCAGCTAATGTTTGGACGTTAAGTGAGTGAGTGAGTTGGGATTAACGCCGCTTTAAACAGTATTCCAGTTATATCATGGCGTGTCAGCTTAATGTGGGAGGAAAACCCGAAGTGATACATGTCTCAGACGTTTACCACTTCGATGAAACCCACGAGTACGGGTATGGTAGTGACAAACCTAGAAACATAATCGGGGCGAACCGGGATTCGAACCCATCATAGGTTTCTGGCGTGCCCAAGGGACGCAACTCTGCACAGCGAAACGCGGCGCCTTAGACGACTGGGCCATCCGTGCCCACGTATGGACGTTGGCATGGGGGCGACTGGTTGCTTGCTTTGATCCACCAAACGTATTTACACACGTCACCATACGTCCTTGCTTGTCAGTATGAACATATGAAGACAGTTTCAGTAAAGACTATGTCATGACGCATTTCGTATTACTATTAATGCATATTAACCACTTAGGAGTATTAGGTTTATTGGTATTTGTGCTTACAGCTAGTTGGTGTTTATTGGTATTTGTGCTTACAGCTAGTTGGTGTTTATTGGTATTTGTGCTCACAGCTAGCTGGTGTTTATTGGTATTTGTGCATACAGCTAGTTGGTGTTTATTGGTATTTGTGCATACAGCTAGTTGGTGTTTATTGGTATTTGTTTACACAGCTAGCTGGTGTTTATTGATATTTGTGCTTACAGCTAGTTGGTGTTTATTGGTATTTGTTTACACAGCTAGCTGGTGTTTACTGGCATTTGTGCATACAGCTAGTTAGTATTTATTGGTATCTGTGCATACAGCTAGTTGGTGTTTATTGATATTTGTTAACACAGCTAGCTGGTGTTTATTGGTATTTGTGTTTACAGCTAGTTGGCGTTTATTGGTATTGGAGATTGCAGCTAGTTTGTGTTTATTTGAATTTGTGCATACAGCTAGTTGGTGTTTATTGGTATTTGTGCTCATAGCTAGCTGGTGTTTATTGGTATTTGTGTTTACAGCTAGTTTTAGTTTATTGGTATTTGTGTTTACAGCTAGCTGGTGTTTATTGGTATTTGTTCATACAGCTAGTTGGTGTTTATTGGTATTTGTGCTCACAGCTAGTTGGTGTTTATTGGTATTTGTGCACACAGATAGTTGGTGTTTATTGGTATGTGTGCTCATAGATAGTTGGTGTTTATTGGTATTTGTGCTTACATCTAGTTGGTGTTTATTGGTATTTGTTCTTACATCTATTGGTGTTTATTGGTATTTGTGTTTACAGCTAGTTGGCGTTTATTGGTATTTGAGCTTGCAGCTAGTTTGTGTTTATTGGAATTTGTGCATTCAGCTAGTTTGCGTTTATTGGTATTTGTGCATACAGCTTGTTGGTGTGTATTGGTATTTGTGCATAGACTATGACTTGGGCAGATTATGTGTTTTTTGCGTCTTGTATTAACCATTTACTATCAAAAATTACTTAAAACTTACGGGAAAGGACAGGTCACCAACATTGAAAATATATAAACTTTCAATAAAACGCCGCATGATACAAGACACAGCCAACATGGTCGTTTGTGATAAAGTTAATTTGATCGCTGTAATATGGGATACATTATGTTTACGATAAAAAGTGTCGATCATGTGCAGAGTGATCACTCATCGATAATTAAGAAATAAACGACGAGGGGGAGTTGTTTATCGTGCAACAGAATAATGTAGGGACAATAAACAACGGTACGATAAACAACGACTACAAGTCATTTATTACTTACAAAAGAGATGACCATTATTAATTTACAACCTCAAAACCACAAAATTACTACATTTACAGGACTTAAACATATTTACCCGTATTTAAATAACGATGTCCAATTTACGAGGTCATCAAGTTGCGAGTGCATGTTCGAATCTTAAGAAATGACGTCATTGTAGAACAATGTTTCATCGTAAAATAAACGGCACCTCGTCATTCATTGTAATTTGCGATTTATTGCGTAGCTATCTTATATCACATGATAATGTGCCTTCAAAAATTAATTATTGCGTTTTGAATAGTTTTGTTGACATTATGAAAATGTGATGTTTACTAGTATGTTGATCTACATGACTCCAGAGTCGTACTAAATAACAAATGTTATTCTCCTGACTAAACGTTTACACAATAATGAGATATGTTGTGTTTGTATGCTACTCCATGTACATTCTAATGATTTATAGTCAAGTAAAACATAGCGAAATGATAGTGATCGTTGATGTCAAATTGCTTTGAATCTTGCTCTTCTAAGGACTTCAATGAGCCAGACCAAGGTAATAATTCCCTAGCGGCTTGTTATCACCCTCCATATGTCACATCACACGAACGCAGCTCTCCTGTTGCATTACAAATAGATAGTTATATTGCAATGAACCGTCCTTAATGACTCTGTTTATTACCACAGTACAAGATCACGTTTCAAATAAAAGAGAAACTCATGTGACATTCAAGAATCCATTAAGATCGTTATTCCAATCTGCTAAACAAAACCCAGATATTTATAGATCAAAATGTTGCTTTTATGTCCATTCTCGTATTGTTTCGAATAATTGATATTCAAGTTATCCATCAATCTGAAAAAAGGTAAACTCTTGTTACTTTGGTTCAGAAGACACCAGGAAGCGCAGTTGAAACGTGTGTTGCCATGGGGTACCTTTAATTGGAACTGTGGCGACAGCCAGCTCTATCAAGTGAACCCCTCTTTTACGGGAACTTACTCAACTTTCAGTATGTGTTTATTCATAATATACCAGCAAACGTTTGTTTATTTGAACATAGTGACTACACATATGTCCCAACAGGACACGGGGTACTCAGAACGACGTCTAGATAAATGTGGGTGAGTTTGATTTTACGCCGCTTTTAGCAATAGTCCAGAAATATCAAGGCGATGGACACCAGAAATGGGCTTCACACATTGTACCCATGTCGGGAAACGAACCCGGGTCTTCGGCGTGACGAACGAACGCTTTAACCACTAGGCTACCTGACCGTCCCTACGTCTAGATAAAGATAAGGCAATAAACAGCATTCCGTTGAGAATGCTATCCCTTAAAATGGAAAATGGGCAATTATCAATGATGGTCAAAAGAAATAAAATGTCAAGACAAGTATACGGTTTAAACGCTGTCTCTGTACACATCTTACCAAGATTACTAGATACTACATATGTTGGTATGACACTGTAGCAGGGCTCGGTCGAGTTATGCAGGGCGCTACATATGTTGGTATGACACTGTAGCAGGGCTCGGTCGAGTTATGCAGGGCGCTACATATGTTGGTATGACACTGTAGCAGGGCTCGGTCGAGTTATGCAGGGCGCTACATGTGTTAGTATGAAACTGTAGCAGAGCTCGGTCGAGTTATGCAGGGCGCTACATATGTTGGTATGAAACTGTAGCAGAGCTCGGTCGAGTTATGCAGAGCGCTACATATGTTGGTATGACACTGTAGCAGGGCTCGGTTGAGTTATGCAGGGCGCTACATATGTTAGTATGAAACTGTAGCAGAGCTCGGTCGAGTTATGCAGGGCGCTACATATGTTGGTATGAAACTGTAGCAGAGCTCGGTCGAGTTATGCAGAGCGCTACATATGATGGTATGACACTGTAGCAGACCTTGGTCGAGTTATGCAGGGCGCTACATATGTTGGCATGACACTGTAGCAGACCTTGGTCGAGTTATGCAGGGCGCTATATATGTTGGTATGACACTGTAGCAGACCTTGGTCGAGTTTTCAGGGCGCTACATATGTTGGTATGACACTGTAGCAGACCTTGGTCGAGTTATGCAGGGCGCTACATGTGTTGGTATGACACTGTAGCAGGGATCGGTCGTGTTATGCAGGGCGCTACATATTTAACACTCTCTTCCTGATAACATGTTAACTCCCTTTTTTCCCTCGATTTAAACTCGATTAACCGATTCATGATACTAACCAATCCTTATATACATATATACAGCCGTCCAGCTGCTTGAATATATCGGCGAGAAGGATCACAATTAGTCTAGTTTGCGTAATTCTAGCTGAGCATCAACATGTTTGCTTCGTACTGATTGGCTACTTCGTACTGATTGGCTACCTCGTACTGATTGTCTACTTCGTACTGATTGGCTACCTCGTACTGATTGTCTACTTCGCACTGATTGGCTACTTCGTACTGATTGGCTACTTCGTACTGATTGGGTACCTCGTACTGATTGTCTACTTCGTACTGATTGGCTACCTCGTACTGATTGTCTACTTCGTACTGATTGGCTACTTCGTTCTGATTGGCTACTTCGTACTGATTGGGTACCTCGTACTGATTGTCTACTTCGTACTGATTGGGTACCTCGTACTGATTGTCTACTTTGTACTGATTGGCTACCTCGTACTGATTGGCTACTTCGTACTGATTGTCTACTTCGTACTGATTGGCTACTTCGTTCTGATTGGCTACTTCGTACTGATTGTCTACTTCGTACTGATTGGGTACCTCGTACTGATTGGCTACTTCGTACTGATTGGCTACCTCGTACTGATTGGCTACTTCGTACTGATTGGGTACCTCGTACTGATTGGCTACTTCGTACTGATTGTCTACTTCGTACTGATTGGCCACTTCGTACTGATTGGGTACCTCGTACTGATTGGCTACCTCGTACTGAATGGCTACTTCGTACTGATTGGCTACCTCGTACTGATTGGCTACTTCGTACTGATTGGCTACTTCGTACTGATTGGCTACTTCGTACTAAATGTTTCCACTGTTTGCGATGGGTGATGACTATTACACCAGTGTCACAAGTTAATTTCACCCCACTTTTCTCGTGTTTGTAAACAAATGCGATTATTCTGAAATCAAAGCAGATAAGCCTTTCCTCGACATGGTGTTTCACATAATTCTGTAAAGATAATGCTACAACTGCAACAGTGAAGAGTGTGACAATATATCTTTACACATCAAAGTGGCCGCATCGCTAGCTATTCCTAAGGCTTGGAATAATGCACGTGGAGCCGTACAACTATTATAAACAAAGGATAAATACGCAAATGGAAATAGATAATTTCTCAATAAAAAGTAACAGGATCACCGCAATTACTTAATGTGAAGTTTGCATGACATACGACTTTTGCTGTTGGAAGAGCGACCGGTCATATAAATAGAATACTGAACTCGCTCTCAACAGTTCTGGTATCTGACCAGATATGAGTACGTCATTTGAACGTATGTAAAAACCAGCTGATTTACTCCGTAAATCGCTCCCCGAGTCCAGATCAAGTCATGCGTATGAATACAAAGTCATGTAAATAGGCATCATCAAGTGCAACTATAATATCAAAGCTTTAGCAATTCAAACAGAGAAAAAACCCGAACACTCATATTTTCCACAACAAACCTACTTTAATGGATTTCCCGCGAAACTACGATATTGCGGTAGGGATTCGAAAACAATATCAAAAGACGTTTAATCGTTCGCTGACAAGGCCGAGGTCATGACGTTCTATCACTGGAGACATGTGTCTGATGACTTGTCAGTGATCTGGTTTTAATTACAATTAACATGTATCACAGAATTTGTGATCGTTCCGGCACAGTTAGAGCTGAGTGTGCGAGACTGGCTAGCTGTCAGATTGAAAGTTTGGGATGGAGCAGAGACGGTCGACGGTAGGCAAGTCGGAACACAGAGCAGTGATTGTGAAGTGCAAGAATCACAGGCCTGTTTATCAATTTACTGATGTTTTTTTGCTGCACTTCAGATAGTTGTGAATAGATATCGACACTCTGCACATTTCTATGGCCACCGATTTGTATTTTCTGATCAGGTGGAACATTTTGCTCAGAAAGAGTTTAGACCAGATACTTTCGGGCGGAATGATTCGTCAACCGTTTGATGGATTCAAGTTTTGCTTTTGCTGCCATGCGTTTCATTATGGATCAAAGCTTGTTGATGCCATCATGTTGTTGCTTAAACCAAGGATGTGTCGGAGTGGAACCAGCTTTTGAATTTGTTGCAAAGTAAATTGGCCACAAAGACCATTTGGTGGAAGGTTAGCATAGCACTTATGTACGCAAGGACGGGGCAGCGATCGTCAACTGTTGCCCAAGCTGTGGGTGTGACAGTCCGAACATCTCGGACGTTTACACCAGTGCGTGTTTTGGTTTGACGCAAGTACTGCAAGTACTCCATACCTTTTGGATCTTGACTAAAGATCAAGTCTCCCAGTGGATATGTCTAGGAGGAGTAATGCTGCGAAGCCCAACATGTGTTGTGCCACCAAAGTGTGTTCAAATGGACTCGGGAGTTTCGACAACTTATTCGACGGATTTCCCTAAAGTTTCTCTAAGAACTGAGCACGCATAGGTAAGTTTCCGAATCCTTCCTGTTTTCAGGACCTCTAGATCTCTGACATGTTAAAAAGTCATCTTTGAACAGTACATTGAGATCGGACACACTGAAGTCTTTGTCAACAAAGGTGTGTGGGTGTAACGTGGCCGTCTCCGGAATGCGTTGTGCGATATCGAGGTACCTGCTTCATGGAACCATCATCCAGCGGTATGTTCCTAGAGGTTGAGCAACCGATAGCACTCGTCCCTTCAGCTGACCGTCAATTTGACGGAATCATTTACTTTTTTACTTTTTTTTCATAATCGGTTGCCATTATGATCATTCGTTGGACGACAGATTCATTGTCTGCTATCTGTACTTTTATTTTCCTATCCGTATATTTAGAACGTATAACTTATTTGATTTCATAAGAGTTCATCTGAACAGAAAGTCTTTGTAATCACGCCCTGATGTGAATCGGCACATTTTGACGGTATGACAGTAACCATTTTGATAGGTCATGTGATGTACTATGTGACCGACCACAAATAGTTCCGTGTTCACGTGATTATTAAACAACGTGTAAAACAGCTGTATGTTTATTACACGGGTGCTCTCTTCACGGATGAGTAACAAGGCCTCGAAACTAACGTTCATAAGTGTATGAAAGACAGATTTTGACGAGTTGGTTTCCTAAAATGACGTAAACACAGACGGACTACTTCCACATTCCGGGGGAAACTCCGAGAATTCCCCTGCACGAATAAATACAGAAACGTTGTTTCTGGCCCATTAATGTTGAGATCAGCTTTCAGCACAGATTGGGATAAGTTAGAGAGTTTGACTGCATGCCCGTGATAGATCTAGAATATCCTCGCAACCGACCCATCCAAGAGAACAAACCGAAGAAATGCACATCCAAATTATCTACTCGACAGTGACAGACTATAGCAATCTGTGAATGAATATACCTCAATATCTGTCTGGCACATCTTTATAACCACATTTCAATGAGCGACCAATTGATCAATGCTCACTAACACTTGTTATCGCCACATGTTCATTACCAACTTCAGAAATCACTCCAGTCACGGTGGTCGTGATGTCAATGCATTCCGACGCAGTGTCGCTGTGGCTGACTGATTGGGGTGGTTCTTCACATGCCTTTCTCATCTAAGGAGGACATAATTTTAATATATTTGTTGTTACCAAACTACAAAAGATATTACTGTACATATGCATGTCACCTCTCCTTTTGAGGACATATTTTATTCCCCGTTACAACTGGTTTATGCCATTCCCTTTATTTAACACTTTAAACATTTATCATGTATACCACTATGATCGTGACAACTTATTATCTCCTGTTCCTTGAAAACAATAAGAAATAACAAAGTCATTGTCGTGAAAACATATTATTGCTTTTGATTTCAGGGTATGTTTGTTTTCTTTTTTGTTTGTTTATTACATATGTACTTAAACCCAGGTGTGTCATGTTCACATTCCTGATTCTGAAGGTACCACATGCAAATTACAATTTGTTTCACCCTCTGAGTTACATAGGTGTGCTTTAGGATAGTATAGGTACTTGCATCAATAGCTAGGTATGCAACAAATTGTCTTTGCGCTCATACTTTGCAAATGTATATACATGCTGTAGATTCATAATTGTCAATTCCGTGTATTTTTCACTATGTTTTTTCAATATCGGGCCATACACGATAACTCGTAGCTGACCATCCAGTATATTGATTGAACATACCCATGTAAGCTACAGGCCTGATCATGTCGGTGGATGGTTGCTAATGTATGACATGTTCACTGTGTTTAATGACATTGCAGAAGCTCATGGATTTCAACTTCTCTCAGTGCGTTGTTTTGGTTTGTTTGTTTGTTTGTTTGTTTGTTGTTTGACGCCGCACTCGGCAATATTCAAGCTATAACACGGCGGTTTGTAAATAATCGCCTCTGGGCCAGACAATCCAGTGACGCAAACTGGGATACGGTGACATGGATCAACCAAGTCATCGAGCCTGACCACCGATCCCATTAGTCGCCTCTTACGACAAGCATAGTCGCCTTTTACGGCAAGCATGGGTTGCTGAAGACCAATTCTAACCCGGATGTTTGCGGGTCGCGATGTTTGGGTACAGATGCTAGTACTTTTATCAAGCACCGATCGACGTTACACTCAGTACAGTGACATATCGGGATATGTTCAATGTTTCTGTCAATAGTTAGGCACTATTTTGAGATTAATGTTTAAATGGTACTTCTTTAGTTTTAAATGCTGAAAACTGCCGTCGTCAGGGAAAATGACTTTATTTATTTAGTATTCAAGACATATCATCTGTCAACCGATAACATTGCGGAACACAACTTAATTTCCATTAAAATTAACTTTAAATTCAATTTAAGGACAGCATGGTTTGGGATTAATCCCCGTGTTTCCCATGTGGAGGGTTACCTGTACATTCATCCACGTTAAACCGAATTTGAAACGGAACGCGAACCGAACCATGAGACCATTCAAAGCGAACTCTTTTGTGTAAGCGAAACGAAGCAGCATGAGTCTAATAAATCAAGCGGCTCATCGATTCAAATTACGGAAACACCAAGAAGAGCGCTTTCTATGGCACTGTGTATGTTCAAACACGGAGGTTGTAAACATTTATCCTGTATATATGACAGTTATTGGAAGCCTTATAGGAAAACTGAGCACGTTTTTTACCACACGTCACTATTATGACGTCAGACCTCTCTTTGTTAATCACGACATTCAACGTAACAGTCAGATTGGAAAGGGCCAAATTTCAAGATCGTGATGTCCCCCAGAATTACATTTTCTTTGTCATTTTAAGCATTTATATCGTGATTTGTACCAAAATTTATAGCTATACATATTTTAAATATTGCAGAAACCTACGGCTGTCAAAATACAGTTTCATAAATCTTACAGACGATGACTGAAAAAGAAGTATGTATCTATAAATATTTGGCTCAGTAGCGATGTAGCCGTCAAATCAGTTGTTTCAATCAGGAGTGGCTATTGTTATTTGAAACATCTGATTGACCAGTCAGAATCGCGTATTTTCCCAAATCATGGTAGAATACATAATGGTAATGACATGCCGACTGTTGTGGATGGTGTGGTTGTTTCTGAAGTATAAAGACCCTCGACACTGAGTCTAGATGTTTATGTTATACAGTCAGGCACTGCCAATGCCTCACAGGGTTCTTACCTTAAAACCTTCGGTTTAAAAGCGTGGCTATTGTCAAACATCAACATCAATAATCGTAAACATATTTTATCACAAGGCAGAATTATCAACAAAGCTGTTTACCTGTTAACTAGCTATGGTATTTACCTGTTAACTAGCTATGGTGTTTAGCTGTTAACTAGCTATGGTGTTTACCCGTTTACTAGCTATAGTGTTTACCTGTTTACTAGCTATGGGGTTTACCTGTAAAGTAATGTATGTGGACTTTGTTCTCCAAAATGTGTCTTTAAACTAAACGTCAACTGAAATGTGTTTTCAAAGTAAACAGTATATTATCAACCACGTAATTTGTTACCGATTGAAATGTACTTACCAATCTATCAGCTGAAGAATCTACAGTGAGGGCTGGACGCAGCTGTGTCATACTTTAAAAGGTTGGCAATTATAGTTGATGCGCGAGTCGCTCCTGGCATTCTCATTGGTTCCTCTGATGTGCACTGACGACGCCCCTGGGGGAGGGGGCCGGGCAGATATAATCAATTTCCACTTCCGAGGGAGAGCAGGGCAAATTGGCTGAGACGACAGTCTTAAGAAACTGGCGTTTTATGTACCTCTGTGTTTCAGTATGGTCTGAGGTCTTATTACTGGGGGTGATAATCATTGCTGCCGATTTCTTTTCAAGCCTCCAGCTCATTCTGCTCTATAGAGTTTCAATTAGAGATGTGATAGTAATGGAAGTATGGGTGTTGTTATTAATAAGCCCTGTATGTTACGGGTGTCCCGCGGTGTCGGTGCTCAGTGAGATTGTCCGCCTCGCGCCAGCCACGCAGCACATCATTGTATAAGACGGTAGACGTGTGGTGCAATGCTGTAATGTTTTTATGTCCACTCTACAAAACTAATCATACCGGACTTTCTTGACGTCAGTGGATTCACCCTCCCTGTAACGATCAGATGACGACAGCCACACTACTGGCCATGATATATGTTAACCCCATGTTGCCGATGCATATCAAGTTGTGTACGAAAGAGGATATTCGAAGAAATTGCTAACAACATTCGACGATACCTGCAAGCAGGTGTCATCACTCCAGATAGCTTCAATACCCCTAGCGTCCTTCCTACACAAGCTGGTAATGTTAGTATAGAACTAAATGATGCACCTGGTTAAAGACTAGCATTAACCCCCGTCCCCCAGCAGGGTCTCGCTTTAAACCTCTCCCGAAACATCGCCAGACAAGAGAACCAAGTCACCAATATTGACGCTACAAACCAACACTACCGCTTTCAAACGAAACTATTTCTTGGGTTTGATCAAGTTTACTAGTTTGAGATCGACAACAGAAACATGAAGAGGTTTCGAAGAGATCGTCATTTTGTTTTCGATATGACATCCTTATTCAAAGTTCGCTTTCGATAGTAGAAAGTATATTAATAGGAGGTAAGCGACGACGAAAGAGATTGGCATATTCGGGAACGACTGTAGGATTTATAGCGGGCTGTGAGCCGTAAACCCAGCAGCGCACATTGATAGACATTTCTAACCGATCCACTGGTAGCCCCAGGTGTGATAAAAAAAATGTTGGTTAATCAGTGAACGGATGAGAAGATACGATTTAACGGTACGACATGTTCTGTTTGTTTGTTTGTTTGTTTGTTTGTTTGTTGTTTACCCCCGCACTCAGTAATGTTCCAGCTATATGGCGGCGGTTTGTAAGTAATCGAGTCTTGACCAGACAATCCAGTAATTGACATCATCATCATCATCGATCTACGCAGTTGGGATACGATGACATGGATCAAGTCAGCGAGCCCGACCACCCGACCCCGTTAGTCGCCTCTTACGACAAGTATAGTCACCTTTTACGGCAAGAATCAGCTGCTGAAGACCCTGGATGGTCACGGGTCGCGATGTTTGGGTACAGATGCTTGTACTTTTATCAAGTACCGATCGACGTTACACTCAGTATAGTAACGTATCGGGATATTTTCAATGTTTCTGTCAATAGCTGAGAACTATTTTGAGTTTAATGTTCATATGGAACTTGTTTAGTTTTAAATACTCAAAACGGCCTTTGTCAGGGAAAAATGACTTTATTAATCTCGTATGTATTTGATCGCACCTGTCAGCGAACCAAATTGCGGAACACAATTTAATTTCTTTTAAAATTAAATTTAAATTCACTTTAAGGACATCATGGTTTGGAATTAATCCCTGTGTTTCCAGCGTAGAGAGTTAGTGACATGTCCAACACCTGAACGTGTCCGATACAGTGTTATTTCTATTTCAAGAGGGGCGGTCGGGTAGCCTAGTGGTTAAAGCGTTCGCTCGTCACGCCGAAGACCCGGGTTCGATTCCCGACATGGGTACAATGTGTGAAGCCCATTTCTGGTGTCCCCCGCCGTGTTATTGCTGGAATATTGCTAAAAGCGGCGTAAAACCATACTCACTCACTCTATTTCAAGATTTGGCATTCAATATTCTCTTACATTCTTTTAATGAAATGCTTGACACGTGTAAACCATGTTATGATATTTCCCACAGAGCAAATACGCTTTCAATGTCAAAGAAATATATGGAACAACACCCCGTCTAATAACATCGATGAATGTATAAAAATACCTAGTTTATTGAACCTTCCTTTCATGAGATTCATGAGTTTACCTAAAGAGGTTCAGTTGGCCCTTAATGTACTATTTGCTTTGTTAGGGGAGGAGGGGATGTGCGGGTGTGGTGGTGGTGGTGGTGGTGGGGGTGGGGGTGATCCTCTTGTGAAGCATGTCAAGACTCGTGCTGAAAACAAGGCATTCCACAGTTTTCGTAAACGAGCCAAGGATGTGGGACATAATTTCAATGTCAATTTTGATTTTGTTGATGGTTCTGTGCTGCTGGACGGTACAGAAATGAGTGGCAACCAGGCGAAGCGCCATGTCAAGTCGGTCCAGACTCAGTTTTTCAAGGAGAGGCTATCTGAACGACCAGTGCATCGAGTTTATATGCAGTGTGTTGAGAAGATCAGCAACCCCGCAGAGTCCTTCGCTTGGATGAAGTCGGCTGGCCTGAAAAGTGAAACAGAAGGGTTCACTGAAATGTAGAATATGCATTGAATTTAATGAGACTGTCCAACACATTGTCAGTGGATGTCCAGCTTTGGCACAAACACAGTATCTTAAGCGACATGATGGAGTGGCTCGGTCATTTTGTTACCGTCTCTCCATGCTTGTGGTTTTGATACAGAGGTCCATCCATGGTACGACCCGGAATATGTGGAGGGCGTCATGGAAATGATAAATACAATTTTTGGGGAATAGGACCGTATACAGCCTCAGACGTATCCAGGCCAACAAACCTGATCTTGTCCTTTGTTATAAATCCAATGAAATCATTAATATTATTGAATTTTCTGTCCCTTTTGGCACTAATGTAATTGACAAGATTAAGGAAAACATGGCAAATATGCAGACCTCGCTATCGAAAAGTCCCGCTTGAATCCCAAGTACCAAGTTGTCCGACTCGCCATTGTTCCCAGTGCCTTAGGTACCTCCCAATCTGTTGACTGACACTGGGAGAGTACCCGGGTTTGCTGCCAGGAATACATTCTGTCTGACAATCTGGAAATACAGAAGGCGTGGGTGAGCCTATGCAACCTGACTGTGCCAGGATCACCCAAACCCTTTTTGCTGCATTTTATATTTTAATCTGTAAATTATGATTATATGTCATTTATATTGCGCATATTTCCACAACACACAGGGGCAATCATTATTACTACCCCGGTCACTGGATCAGTTTGCACTCAACAATCATTCCGAGCTCCCTAGGGAGTATACAACCGAAGCTGAAGCAGTGACGTAACCAATAGTCTGTCTCGGAGACAACACCATCTGTCTGTCTCTGAAGCACCCTGGAAATAATGTCGACATGGCCTAGTTATTTCACTCAAGTGAAATATCAATTTAATTTTATATTTATCGGCAAGTGTAGTGTTTCATCATTGGAATCAATCTACACTAATATTACATATTGGTGATCGACTGGGTACAGTTAGGTCATCGCTCCCTATGTTAATGTGGATTCTCTCATGAGTTCTCATACAGAGCTATTCATATTTCTTAATATTCACCATCAAGTGACTAGTACAATGCCCATTATACTGTCTGCTACCTTTGGTAAAGAACTTCTTGAGTTCTCGAGGTTCGTGGTTAAAGTGTGTGACGATGGCCCCTCCACGAGAACACAGCGTAGCCTTGGGCAGGGTCCAGGTTATATTGTGATTGAGTTCAGTGAAAATAAAACGAAGGAAGGCTTCAAGAGAACAGTGTGTGCTGAACAAAATGTCAGCGAGCACGCCATGGCTTCCGGCAGTGTGAACCATCTACACCTCTCGTTACAGGACACGCATTCATATTCACGTTTCCCCTTCTCATTACCGCGGTGTGGCATCATAATGTATGCAGGTCAGTCAGCTGGACATGATGCCCGCCAGCCGGTCTTGGGCTGACTGACCACGTGAAAACTTACTCCTACATTAGACTGACTACGTAATGCACAGGGTGAAACGTACTGCTGTATTAGACTGATCAGTCTTGCACAGGGTGAAACTTACTGCTATATTATATTGACCAGTCGTGCACAGGGTGAAACCTACTGCTATATCATACTGACCAGTCGTGCATAGTGTGAAACTTACTGCAATATTCGATTGACCAGTCGTGCATGGGGTTAAACCTACTGCTATATTATACTGACCAGTCGTGCATAGTGTTATACATACTGCAATATTAGATTGACCAGTCGTGCATGGTGTTAAACTTCCTGCTATATCTGACTGACCAGTCGTGCACAGGGTGAAACTTACTGCTATATTATACTGACCAGTCGTGCATAGTGTTAAACTAACTGCTATATCTGACTGACCAGTCTTGCACAGGGTGAAACTTCCTGCTATATTATACTGACCAGTCGTGCACAGGGTGAACCTTCCTGCTATATTAGACTGATCAGTCGTGCACAGGGTGAAACTTCCTGCTATATTAGACTGACCAGTCTTGTATGGGGTCAAACTTACTGCTATATTATACTGACCAGTCTTGCATAGTGTTAAACTTCCTGCTATATTATACTGACCAGTCGTGCACAGGGTGAACCTTCCTGCTATATTAGACTGATCAGTCTTGCACAGGGTGAAACTTACTGCTATATTATACTGACCAGTCTTGCACAGGGTGAAACCTACTGCTATAATAGACTGACCAGTCTTGTATGGGTTAAACTTACTGCTATATTAGACTGACCAGTCTTGTATGGGGTCAAACTTACTGCTATATTAGACTGATCAGTCTTGCACCGTGTTAAACTTCCTGCTATGTTAGACTGACCAGTCTTGTATGGGGTTATACTTCCTGCTATATTAGACTGATCAG